AAAACTGGTTGCTAGGAATCGAAGCAAAGTAGAGGAGTGTTAAAGAATTTCCTTTCCCAGAAGATAACATTTACTGACGAAAGAATAAAATTTTGCATGTTGGAGATTTTCAAACGATTTTCTTTTCTTATCTGTTTTGAGGAGACATTTATTACACCGAAAATATTTTTGATATTTCGAGATAACAGTTATTTACCTATCTGTGAAGATCAGATTTAGGCTCTGTTATGAAGGATTGCGTGCAGCTATGTATCTATCTATGACAGTCTGTTCATTTCTATCTATCTATCACTGTTCATTTCTATCTATCTATTTAGCTAGCTAGCTAGCACAGTCTGTTCATGTCTATCTATCTATCTATCTATCTATCTATCTATCTATCTATTATTTCTATCCTTTTCTCCTGAATATTTACCATGAATTCACCTGACCACTTTCTATCAGCGTTATCTATCTATCTATCTATCTATCTATCTATCTATCTCGTTTCATAGCTATCTATCTCGGCTCATAGCTATCTATCTCAGTTTCTTCATAACTATCAATGTATCGAATAATCTCTCTATCATTCTCTCTATCTCACTTTGTTAATATTTATCTATCTATCTATCTGTCTGTCTGTCTGTCTCAGTCTATTCAAACTTATCTATATGTCTATCTCAGTCTGTTCATATCTATCTATCTATCTATCTATCTATCTATCTATCTATCTATTTATCTATCTCAGTCTGTTTATATCTATCAATCTCAATATCAATAATTATATTTTAGTTAATATTTTAATTGATTTATTATGATATATTATTACTAAAATAACAAAGTAAATATTTGTTAATATGTCGGCATCAACCCATTATTTCATTCTTCTTATTTAATAATTTAATTTGATTATTAAAAGTTAATATTGATGATTTTTCTTCTAAACACATTCTAAAGTTCCTATTGGTAATATTATATGGGGTACTTTTTTTATCTATCTGTTTATTTTTGTCTATCTATCTTTTCTATCTATCTGTTTATCTATCTACCTATCTACCAATATATATATATATATATATATATATATATATATATATATATATATATATATATATATATATATATATTTTTATCTATCAAAATCTGTAGACACTCTCCTCCCACAGTGACTTCTAGCATCTCTCTCTCTCTCTCTCTCTCTCTCTCTCTTTTTCTGGAAGTTCTGGAGTTGAGATGCTGAAGGTATATTGACTAACTTTTACTCATATTAACGCTACATCTAAGAAATCTGAAAGGTTTCTTGTATAATGTTTGTTCTATGTCCTTAATGCCCACCACTGAATTAAGTGCATTAACAAAAAAAAAAATTTGTGTGAAATAAATGCCTTTATTTTCGTTAGGCTACAAACTTATTGATCTTCCTACATATACATCAATAAATTAAGTGCATTGACAAAGAAGGAGATTAAGCTGAAAAATAAATATACTATCTTCTTTATTAGGCTACAAACTTATTGATGCCCCTACATATTCATCAATGAATTAAGTGCATTGACAAACAGAGAGTTCAGGCTGAAAAAAATGAATATGCTCTTTCTTTATTAGGCTACGGACTTATTGATTTATTTAGATATTCATAACTGAATTAAGTGCATTGACAAAGAAAATATATATAACTGTAAATATATATAACTGTAATAGTTTCCGACGCGTTTCGTCCGATGTGGACTTTCTCAAGGCAAAACGAAATGAATTTATTAAACAAAGTAACTAATAATAACAAAAACAAAATGTCCTTAGTAACTGGAAGAATTTAGAGAACGCTATTTTCATACTGTTAACGGAAAATTACGTCAATTACTGTCACGTGTGGAAATATTGTTTTCATTGCTGTGTTGATGGATTCAACCATTTTCTTTTGATTTCTTCATACTGTTCTGTACGTTTGTTTTAAGAGTAGTAATTCTGTTAAGAAAGGTGAAATAGGGAAAAAACCTGGGCGTAGATTAATATTTAGGTAATATTCAATGACGGCACTCTCGAGGATTTTCCTTCTGAGTGTGTTTTTTTTTATGAGTGTAGCATTTTTAAAATCAAAATTGTGGTTGAATTTATTTCTATGTATGACTAGTGTATTAGTTAAGTTGATTTTTGTGTGGTCTCTTTTGTGCTCATAAATGCGTCTTTTTAAATTTCTACTTGTTTCTTGTGTGTGTGTGTGTGTGTGTGTGTGTGTGTGTGTGTGTGTGTGTGTGTGTGTAGAAAGAGGTAGAAAGAGAGAGAGAAATAGAAACAGTGTGACCATAACAATCAACACGGAATGATGGTTGGCACCTTAAACAATTATTAAAACATCTGACAATCACTTAAACAGTTAAACTGCCAATCCCGTGAAGATTTCTATGTCCTCACTGCTTATAAGTAAAACTGCTTTGTCCTCGATGTTGAGCCCTCGTCTCCCATGAATAAATTTCAAATGCGTGTGTATGTCTGTGTGTCTCTGTGCCTGTGTGTGTGCGCTCCCCCTTCCACCTTGTTATTTAAATTATGATGACAACTTGTTGTGAAATTAAGTCGGACTTCTGACCTTCTTTATGCAAAGGAGTCACAAGATGTCAGATAACCCGTCACCAAAGAAGCAATGACATGACTCACTCGTAATTGGTTTTTGACCAGAGCATATGATAACGGAATCTTAAATGCTTCTTCTTCTTCTTCTTCTTCTTCTTCTTCTTCTTCTTCTTCTTCTTCTTCTTCTTCTCTACCAAACCCAACTTCGCCATTATCATCAGCATCCTCATCACGAACAACGAGATCTCTAATAGTAAATAGGACTCTTTCGTCGTATAACTATTCTTTCTCGTGCGTAATTTATAAGCCCGAATTAGTCTTACAGTTATACATAACTACATATCTATTCTTTTTAAGAATTTCAACCCCCCCCCCAAAAAAAAGCAATAAAACTAAGACGCCAGGGCTTACTGGGGGTGAGAGAATATGACAAAAAGAAAACATTATTAAGAGAACAATGAAAGAACAGAAATTAAGAAGATAGACGATAACGATTGACATTTCATTTAAACTTTTGTAGATCAAAGTTTACTGGGAAGCAAGAAGCTGAAGGAGAGTTCCACAAGCGAGAAGTGCGAGAGAAGAAACAGTTAGCATAGAACTTACGGTTACATCTAGCCAGTGTAGCCACTGTAAAATGATGAGACTTTGCCGCCAATCTAGTACTGGGCTTAAATTCATAAAGTCTAGGTATTACCACCAGAACAATTATCATGAAATATCTGTCTATATTTCTGAGGTATTATGTACACTATTTACATTATTCTGACTATTGTCCTCATCTTTGTCGCCATATTTATTACAACGTTTCAACCAATGTACGCTCCGGCCTTCTTCAGGTTGTTGGAATGTCGAACTGAACCCTTTATTTCGCTCACTGGGGTAGACTTTTCTAGTTCCGCGTGCTATGTTTACCATGTCATGGCACAGTGGATAAAGGCGAAACGTTGTAATAAATATGGCGACAAAGATGAGGACAATAGTCTGAATAATGTGAATAATTATCATGAAAGTATTTATAGAACATGCACAAGGAAGCTAGGAAAGTAACTGAAGATGAGATATCAGAACAGGACCAATAACATTGCAGGTTTTCTTTTCTTTTGTATTTTATCAAGACTGTCTAAATATATAACAGGAACGCTAGACCAGATGTGGCTGCATTATTCAATGCTTGGATGAATATTGGACTTATAAATCTGTACGATAGATTCTGGAGAGAGCAAGCCACAGTGAACGAACTTTCGTAGAAGCAGACCTACCAGTTATACTCTTTCAACATCTGTCTATATTTCTGAGATAAGCTATTATATCTATTTGCATCATTTACATTGTTCTGACTGCAGTCTTCATCTTTATTTTCATATTTCCGACGTTTCAACCGTTGTACGATCTGGCTTTCTTCAGGTGATATACGTTGGAATTATACATTGGCCATGTGTCCCCAGGGAGTTAAGTGAAGTAATCCAGTGGCTTCACCCAAAAAGATGTGAGTTTAATACCTGGCCACATTAGAGATAAACAAAATTTTGGAGAGCTCACTTAGTAAAAGGAATTAACGCTCCAGCCTTCTTCAGGGGATATACGTTGGAATTTCTCACCGAAGACATTATTTAGCCCACGGGGCAGATTGTTCTAATTCCACGTGCCATGCCTTTTTTTTATATTTCAGTTAATTCTCTTTAGTAACACAACTCTCCAAATTTTTATTCACTTCTGCTGTGGCCGGGTATTGAACACACAAATCTTTGGATCAAGCCATTGGATTACCTCAACCAACGCTTTTATCCACTGGGCCATGTGTCCTTAACACAGCAGAAGTGAAGAAAAAATTGGAGAGTTGTGTTACTAAAGGGAATTAACTGAAACGGTCGAAATGTAGTGAATAGGGCAATAAAGATGAGGACGACAGTCCGAATAATGTAAATAGTGTAAATAGTTACAATACAATATAGACAGATCCTGAAGAATGCCGGAGCGTACAACGGTCGAAACGTCGTGAATATGACAATAAAGATTAGGATGACAGTCAGAACAATGTAACTAGTGTAAATAGTTACAATACGTCATCTCAGAAATATAGACAGATCCTGAAGAATGCCTTAGCGTACAACGGTCGAAACGTCGTAAATATGACAATAAAGATTAGGATGACAGTCTGAACAATGTAAATATTGTAAATAGTTACAATACGTCATCTCAGAAATATAGACAGATCCTGAAGAATGCCAAAGCGTACAACGGCCGAAACCTCGTGAATATGACAATAAAGATGAGGACAACAGTCCGAACAATGTAAATAATGTAAATAATCTTTCCACTTCATGTCAGCGGGAAACGTTAACCCGAGGATGTCTTTATTTTGCAGCCATTTTTTAAAATTAAAAAGCAACTGTACCTTCGATCTTTTAATCAATGATTAACTACAGCACAAAAATGGAGCTTTGTTATTTGTTCGGGAATACTAATTATAAAAGTTCGTCATTATCAATGCGTCAATTGACGTGACGCCGAGAATTTTTTTTACCATACTACTTTAGAGCATACAAAATGACTATTTTGCATGACATTCTTCTTTTATGCGCTGTGTCCTTTGAAGAGTTAGGCGATCGTGGGCCTCCACATTTCCCTGTCCTCTTGAGCTCAAACTTTGTTCTACCATTCATTTGCTCAAGATTATCAATTATGTTTCACGTTTCTGTCCCTCATTCCCTCAAACTGTCCTGTGAGTATCAGATTTTTCAAGCCCTCTTTCCTCACTATGTGCCCCCAAACTTTCAACTGCGACCTCCTGATGTGAAATATAAGTTTCCTTTTTGTTTCAATTTGCTCCCAAACCTCGTTGTTGCTCACATCTTCGGTCCATCGTATCCTAAGTATCTTTCTGTAGAACCACTAGAGCCTAAAAAATTCCGATTTTAACTGACATTAGAGCAAAAAAATGTTAAATTTACCTGACATTAGAGATTACAAAATTTCGATTTTACCTGACATTGAATATGAAATAAAAAAAAAAAACTTCAATCGAAACAGAGCAAAATCAGAATGATCCATAAAAGGGTTTTGTTGAACGTGTGGCTATATAGAAGGAATTGATGACTTTGACCATTTGGTTGATAGATTGCATCAAAAGGTAGAGACTTAACTGCTATTCACTCAATATGCTACTGTTTATTCAATACAAGACCTAAGAGCCAATCAAGGTAAAGGGTTAATGAATGAAATTGTTGCAAGGACGGAAGGAAGGGAGGAAGAATAGACGTATATTTTGAGGATGTGTACGATAGAATTCGGTTGATCCTAGAATTGTAGTGTTCGGGGAAACACCCTCTCGAGAGACAGTTTCACATAGTAACAGTTCAAGGGAAAAGGCTCTTCCTCCTTACCAATGGAATATGAAGGCAATGAAGATGATTTGGTGTACGTAGCTTGGTGCCTGCTAATTGTGAAGGTCTGAACTGGTGGAACGAAGGAATGAAGCACGTCAGAAGAATTTCCACAGGAATAGCAATAGAGTAGGGAGAAGCTAGTAAAGTTTCCTCTATGGGGAAAGAGGTCGCAGGCTGGAAAATCATTCATCACCTACAAAGGCTTTTGATTCTTTCAAGGCGGGACAGTAAGAATTGTGTAGCACCAGCCCCCCCCCAAAAAAAAATGGCAGCAGTAATTCTTTCTTGGTATGATTTGAAACTTGTAAAGATAGATCATGGTAGCGACAGTTTGGTATTTTAGTTTAGGTGTCTTGGTACAAACAAAGAAATGTCGGGTGTTCGAAAAAAAAAAAAAAAGAAACAAAATAAAGACTGTACACGTGTGACCTACTATTCGAGTTCCCCACCCAACCAAAGTTAAATATGCAGATTTCAATTTTTCTGCGAATTCGGACGAAGTGCAAAGGACAACGGAATGAGACGCGACGTTCTTTCTCGACTCAGCCTACTCGTCCTATTTTCTTGAAAGTACCTTTTATTCGATGAAGTACTTTCTTTGATGTCATACTGATTATCTTTCAACGCCTTATCTCTGAAAGCCTCTAGTTGGCACGTATACCATCACCCACTCTTTCGAAAGACTTGATGTCACCTAAAGGAAAATATTCTCTCCCACACACACTCTCTCTCTCTCGCTTCCTTTCTCTCTCTTGCAGTCTGTCTGTCTTTCTGTCTGTCTCTCTCTCTCTCTCTATATATATATATATATATATATCTTAATGTCTCCATCGAATTCTTTTCTATCTCAGTCGATTCACGTCTATCTATCTATCTATCTATCTATCTATCTATCTATGTATCTATCTATCTATCTATCTAATTCTATTCATCTCTATCTATCTCAGTTGATTTACAACTATCTCAGTCTATTCACATCTATCTATCTGTTTGTCTGCATCGATACTTTCTATCTATCTCAACCTATTCTCATCTATCTATCTATCTATCTATCTATCTATCTATCTATCTTTGTTACTCAAACAGATAGATATGAACAGACCGGCTTAAAGAAATTAATACAAGAATAAAATATTGACTGAAAAATAATTCATGCCCTACGCATTCGTCGAAAAAAGAATTAATGTGCTTTTCGACAGGCCATAGGATTCTAACCTTCACAAACATCACCTTTATATTTTATATCATTTTTTTCTTTTTAACCTGTATTATTAAACAACAGCCATTTTTTTTAAATTTATATATATATATATATATATATATCCTTTTTTATATTCAATAAAAAATGAGCATGCATAATATAAAAAATGTACCAAACTTAATAGAAACAAGATTTTATCGTCAAAATCTTTACAGTCGGCTATGATAAGTTTTTAGCCACCCTTGATTACGGCAATTTTGGCTTGTTTAATAAAGTCTCTTTTTTTCAGATAATACCGTGTTAGTATTAAGCTACTCTCATCTATGAACAATAGTTGACTTACAGATTCCCAGTCGCCAATGTTCTCGTATAAGCTCATAGCTCTGCTTAATAATATTCTAAGTAAAACACTGGAACAAAAAATTAGTGAAGAAACTGTCTAATCACATGGATTAATACTACAATAGTAGCGAATACTGTAGTTAGTGCAGTAATGCGAAGGCGACCCCATTTTGCGACCCACTTTGCAATTAATTTGCGACTCCTGTTTTTATGAATGGACGTTCCATTCATAGAAAATGGACAAGGCTTTGTTCAACGATTTGTGTAGAGGTGGGGTTGTGTTTCTACACAACAGGAAATTTGAATTTTACGTTTGTGTCATCCAAGTTTTACACAGAATTGAGATACTACTTAAATCTGTTGATTTTTTCTACAATTTTTAATTTAGTTCTACACAGACACACACATACACACACACACATATATTGTACTAGGCTGGCATCTCGCTCACACTCTTTTACTGTCGAAACTGTTAAATGTAGCCATCTCTTCTACTTCAATAGCTTCATGTCTCGCCTGTGGAACTCCCTCCCCTTTTCCTGTTTCTCTGACAGCTATAATCTCCAACTATTCAAATGTAATGTCAATCGACGTCTCCAGATGCCTTGATCTATTCCCTATCCTTCTCTTCATCCTTTCCTCTATCATTCCTATTTACTCTCTTTATAACCCCTTGCGTGCTAGTGGCTTCCCGCCTTGCTTGGGGTGAAACGCTTAATACATTTTTTGTGAGTTAGTGATACCAATGTCTTCGTTGAACTGGCACTAAGAAAGTTCTTCTGTGTGAAATGTAATAAAACAATTAAGATTGGTCCGAGAAAGGGTGAGGAAAGATATCTATATTCTAATCTTTTACTGACCCCTGTATGTTTTAGATCTATTTCCATTTTTATGTATTGTGTGAGTTTTTTTCAGCATGCGTATGTATACGTATATTCCCTCTCCGTACATACTGTCTTATTATAAGGAATTAGTATACACATATATACAGTCATACATATACACACATACGTACATACACACATATGCACACTTCCTATGTTGTGTAAGATTCACGTGTGTGCCTGTCAGCAGTCTTAGTTTTGCCAATATGTGTGTGAGTGTATATATATATATATATATATATATATATATATATATATATATATATATATATCAGTATGCCTATGTATACGCGCATTCCATCTCCATACATACTGTCTTATTATAAGGAATTAGTATACACACATATACACACATGCATACATACATACACACACATATACATACATATATACATACACACATACCTTTGGATAAAAGTGGGAATTCAGTACCTTACTACTGCCGAAGTGAACGGAAAAAACTTGGAGAATTGGGTTAAAGAGAGATAACTGATACGGAATAAGTCGTGGCACGTGGAACTAGAACAATCTGCCCGGGTGGGCGAATTAAACGGTTCAATTTGAAATTTTAATCACCTGAAAAATGCCAGAGGGCACACCTTCCGAAACGTCCTAAGTATGGCAACAAATATCAGTCGAAATAGTGTAAAGTATTTTATTTTATCTACTGGCTGGAATATCAACAAAAACAAAATACACCCACCGGTACGAGCCGATATATTTAATTGATTACTTTTCATAATAATATATAAAAGTCATAAATCCAACAATTCTTAGCAAATACGAACAAACCTAAGGAGAAATATAAAATCTGCTTGTATATTAATAAAATAAAGAGATACCACTGAAAATCCATCATAAAAATGAAAAAATGAAAAAAAAAAAAGAAAAGAAAACAGTTCAGCTTCATTGGAGAAAGATCATTTTAAATGGTTTACATGATGATCTTTTTACTTTTCACAATTAATAAACAAAGGTAAAATAACCACGCTGAATCAGAATCATTTACGATTGATGTAAGTGTATATATATATATATATATATATATATATATATATATGTTCCGGAAAGGCATAAATTTGTTCGAAGTAGCAAAGTGGTTTTGGACTACTGTAACCGGGTTGGACAATCTAGCAGGTAACCGTAATGGACTGGTCCTTGTCGTAGTGGTACGCAATAGGCGTAGGCAATAGGCGTAGTTCATGCACCTCCACATCAGTCTGTATTTTTGGCTGGCACCAGCCAATGCTATTACTGTGAGGGGGAACCCAGGTGTATGCATATTCATTACATCATATATATATATATATATATATATATATATATATATATATATATATATATATATGGTATACTGACTCTCCTGTCGAATACGACGTATGAGGGCCAAGCAGATCAATTCCTAGGAAACCGACAGCGCGACAACAGCACATTTGATTTCATTATAGTGGTTAAGGTTTTGTGCAGGACCATCCACACTTTTTGAAGGGCCGAATACAGAGACCTGGTGTACTATGTGCCACAGGGTCTCCAAACGACTCTCTGCGGAGTTGTTGTTGTTCTAGACTAGTTGCCATCCAAGGTTATAGAACCCAGTCTGTCCTGCTATTTAACCCATAGCTGGAGATAGAAGAAGTGGATTCACGCCTTTCCCAAGGAAAGTAAGTGAATGTAATGAATTCGACTGGAATTCCTCAATCCAAACCGCTATCCATTACTCCACCATTGCCTCCTCTCTCTCTCTCTCTCTCTCTCTCTCTCTCTCTCTCTCTATATATATATATATATATATATATATATATATATATATATATATTTAATATAATATAATATAATATATATGGTATATATATATCGTGTATATATATATGATATATATTAATAGTAGTAATAATCTTATGAGTATAAGAAATTATACTCGTTCGGAAAACCTCCGGTGTCTTAATTTGCAAATAATCAAACCAATACCAAAGGGAAAAAGGTATTAAAAAAAGGTATAAAAAAAGAAAGAGTCAAGAACATGTACGTTAGCCGAAAATGATCGTCTAGCATGCAAATCCAAAAGCCAAAGAAAAAAAAAACTGATATGAGTAAGCAAAATAGCTAAATAAAGTGCTCAATACAGTAAGTAGAGCAGACCTAGTTAAACCTAGAGAGCCAGACAAACCTACCAAGGTTTTGGCCTGATCTGGCTGTAGTAGATGATAGCATGCGGAATATATATATATATATATATATATATATATATATATATATATATATATATAACGACAGAATGCCGTCAGAAATTGTCCGAGGAACATTTCAGAAAAAAATACGCTAAATATGATCCGAGCTTTCGATATTTTTATGCCATCATCAAGGTAGGTAGAGACAATTCGTGAGTTTAGGAGAAATTTGAAATGGTGTAAAAACGCTTCTGATGTAATTAACTACTTGTCTGAAAAAGATTTTTCGTAACTTGGAAAAATCGATCATTAAAATTCATTAACACAAAATGTTTGTTGTTTTTAATATTATCTACATTAAAGATCATTTGCTACCTAGAGACACGAATACACAAACACACACACACACACACAGACAGACAGACAGATAGATAGATAGATAGATAGATAGATAGATAGATAGATAGATAGATATGAATAGAGTGAGATAGATAGATAGATAGATAGATATGAATAGAATGAGATAGATAGATAGATAAATAGATAGATAGATAGATAGATAGATATGAATAGAGTGAGATAGATAGATAGATAGATAGATAGATAGATAGATAGATAGATATGAATAGAGTGAGATAGATAGATAGATAGATAGATAGATAGATAGATAGATAGATAGATAGATAGAAAGAATGGGGGTGGATGTATACTTCCCTTTGAAGCATAGGGGTTTTGTTACTGCGGTTTCCGTAACCAGTTATTTTTTTTACAAGTTTCAAGGCTCACAACCAACAGTTTTGGATTCACAGTTATCCTTCTTCTAGACACCAAACCAAACTAGAGGGCCCTAGTTTATTCTGCTATTTAATCGATAGCTGGAGGACAGAAGAGATAAATGAGCAATCATTTTTCATCTGTGCAAAAGCGTACGAAGAGCCTGGACTGTAATTTGAATTCGACACTCCATTATATATTCCACGCTTCAATGCCATCTTCAGAACATGCCCTTGGATATCTGACGACTTGGACTGAAGTGTAAAACCGTCACTAACCATGCAGCGTTGAATCGTGTGTCCACACTGTTTATACTAAGCATTCTAACCGTATAAATATATAAGATTTTTCAATATGTCGATACTCGTATCAGTGAATACAAAAATATTTATATCCTTACATATTCATAAGCTATTTCTTCCACAAATATTACATGCGTTTGTACGTGTCGGATGTCTGTGACTTTTTAATACATATATATATATATATATATATATATATATATATATATATATATATGTATGTATGTATACACGCACACACACGTGTCCTAAATGATCCATTATGGATATAAAAGAAAGTGTTTGCAAGGTCATCCTATTAACCTTAATGTGACAACGGCATTTCATACGATCTTATGAATCATAGCAAGTCGTAAAATGGCGATAAACAGAAATATGGACAGAAAAGAAACGACTTTTCATACTCCGATAGTCAGCCATCTTTCCATATGATCAGATGACTCAAGATGTGTTTACATT